ACTGTTGCAGCAAACCTTGCAGCTCTGCACACCAGAGCAAAAAGGCCTATAAAGCACTTGCTAAAGAACTTTATCGGGTGGAGGATGAAAGCTTTTTAAACGTTGTAGAGGATTAAAATGGGGAAAAAAGCAATAAAAAGGAACAAGATGTATCTCTTAAAATTGTCTGATTCTGAAGAGAATATGATGAAATGTGACAGACTGGGCAATAGGTAATTGAATGTGGGGGTTCTTGTCTGCTGCCTGTCTCCTCCATGGGATGGGGTGTTATCTGAAAACACATCCTGCAGGATAAAAGGCAATCAGCAGGGCTCATTAAGTGATGATGACAGGACATTAGCACACTCTGCGATAATTAATTAAAATGAGGCACCCCGGTGGCTGGAGGAAAGCTGCTTACAGCGGGCTGGTGGTGGCCCTTTGTATGATACATATCTAGCATGATTGTGATTGTATTAGCAGAGGGAGGTGATGTGCAGGCTGCAGGGGGGCACAGCGACCAGGGACTGGGCAACGGGTCACGAGGTGTTATAACTACCCCACTGCAAGAACTGCACCACCACTAGGCAAGCGAGCATCGCATCATAGCAATGCGTAGTACAATGGATTTGTCATTAGAAACGTGTAATGTAAAATTAAAGGATCAGCTGAGAAACAAACCTTAGGCTTCCACTTAAGCTACAATTTATTTTGTCAAATATATGGCAAAAAAGTAATAACTATTTGTAACACATGTTCTCTAAATCTCAATCTCTCTCCCTCCCTCAGAAGTCTCACTCCCAATGTCTACATATGTCACCCTGTGTCCTGGTGTTCTCTCTCCCTCCCTCAGAAGTCCACCTCCCAATGTCTACATATGTCACCCTGTGTCCTGGTGTTCTTTCTCCCTCCCTCCCTCAGAAGTCCCCCTCCAATGTCTACATATGTCACCCTGTGTCCTGGTGTTCTCTCTCCCTCCCTCAGATGTCCACCTCCCAATGTCTACATATGTCACCCTGTGTCCCACCCTGTGTCCTCTCTCCCTCCCTCAGAAGTCCCCCTCCAATGTCTACATATGTCACCCTGTGTCCTGGTGTTTTCTCTCCCTCCCTCCCTCCCTCAGAAGTCCCCCTCCCAATGTCTACATATGTCACCCTGTGTCCTCTCTCCATATATCACTCTGTTTCTTCTATCATTGGAGATTTGGGGAACATAGAGCCTGTTCCCACCTAGCAAACTGAATGTGTTCACTCTAAGCACCCAATCAGGATTTGTTTTCTGGCACATGATTGGGTGCTGAAAGTGAACACAGCATAATATATTCCTTCACATCCCCTCTGCCGAATGAACAGCCTCCAATAGCTGTCAAACGTTTATCAAATAACAGGTGCTAAACTTTGGTGGAATGCCTATTTTCTTCTATCTGTAAGATCTTCTTCCAGACATAAGAGCCATGTGTGACAGCTCTACACATCCCACAGCAGATCAAAATAATAATCTAGTATGTGTCCTTGCAGAGGAAGGAGCTCCAGGTTCGGCAACATGTATTTCAAAAGTAGGCGCCGGAGCTGCGCTAAACTGGCGCTCCCGGGCGCCTACTTTAAGGATTGAGCTACAGTGTATCTTTTCCTTGCTTCTACTTCCAGAATAACTGAGCAAAATGTAAACACCTCTTCATTAAACTAAGCCCTATATTTTTCTTTATGTCTACCCTATACCCCTCTACTCTCTCTCCTCTCTTCCCCCTCATCCCCTTCCCTTCACATATACCCCTCTATGTTCCTTCTCTTGCTGTCTCTCCCTCCTTCTGTCTTCTCTCTCTTTTTTTTCATTCTCTCTCTCTCTCTCTCTCTCTCTCTCTCTCTCCTATATTTCACTCATTTTGAAGGTATTATCACATCTCATTTTACTATCTATCTATCACATTTCAGTATCTACCTATGTGTCAGTAGGTTTGCTCTAGTCAGAGTACCTGTGTGTTCTGTGCTTGTCTGGCCATAACATGTATACATATTCACTTCGCACTGTGCTGTGTACAAGGCCTGAGAAATTAACTTTCTATAGAACAGCTGCTGTACGAAAATGTTCAATAAAGTCCAATATCATCGAGCAGTAAACAATAGTATTCATGAGGATTCAATGGTTATTAAATATTCGGCAAGGTATGCAAGAAAAGCAATCTCTGATGGAATTTCGTCCCTTTTTATAATCTCTTACAATTTTCTAAAAGTTGATAGCCGGGTATGAGAGCTCTACAGATACAAGACAAGAGCACATATGAGAATCATTTAATATGTGTCCCTTGCAAAGGAAGGATGTTTGTGGTCCGACAATGTGTATTTAAAATGTAGGCGCCAGAGTGGCGCTAACTGGCGCTCCGCGGCGCCTAATTTTTACATATAGCTGCACTATAAATCCAAACTTATCCATACTTTGCTTCTACTATGAGCCTATTTGGTGGAGTTTTCAGTATATTTAGACGAGTGATGATCATAAAATATTGCTGTTTTTTTTCATATTTTGCTTACATCTGTTCGATATTCGCCCAATACTGTAGATAAGAACTGTGCGAATCCTCGGGCTGTAAGTAACGATATTTACAATATGACGCTGCAATATAGATTTCATTTCACATGCGCTTTGTAGGTTTTAACTCTTGGATGTGCGATAATCAATAAATAATCCGATATTTGCATATTGTAATGTACAATTGGTATTATCTCTCTTATTGGTATTATATATCTTATATCGTCTCAAAATCTATTTTTGTAATGTATGATATACCATTTTATTACCTATCCAATCATTCCATATTTAATGGTATACAACTTTAGGATCTATTTGCTTGTTGGGATATATCTATATCTGTCTTTCTGGCTATCTTTTTATCTATTTACTGATTACAGTAAGGCACACATTACAGTATTGTTTTATGTTAAAAAATCTGAGGGTTTAATGTCACTTTAAGGAAAGGTGCAAATAGGGCAATACTCCCCCATACACTCACTCTTTCTCCTTCTACAAATGAGTTCCATCACTCAGAAGGTGGGAGAACGCTGAGCATATGTAGGGGCACATTTGTAAAGGACCCCAGGGTGGGTTTTGTGTCATTTGTGCTGTTTAATTTTACTTTGTACTTGTTCATTTGAATATAGAAACAAATAACTCTCCTATTTATTTAAAAAAAATTATAAATGAGCCTTTGCTGTAATTCCACGTTCTTTCTCATTCCAGTACCTTATGTGTTATTTTGTATGAACAAAGTTGCAAAATGTAGTAAAGGGAATTGATCAAAACTGGGGCAGACAAAATCTGGA